ATGGGGCTTCACCTTATAGAAAACTGAAGAATGATATATATTCTGTTGAGTTCATGCATGCTGGCCTGGGACCGAATAAAAAATGTAGGTTGCGCCAACTGATCTCTTTTCCTATAAATTTCCTCACGCTCGAAGCATTTTTTAAGTGTTTATTGAATGCATTGTTTAGCACATAATATCGAATTAAAAAATCACTCAAACTAAAACCTTTACGAAAAAAATATGGATTTTGCCTACAGTACAGTACCAACACAGAAACTGATATCAATCAAGATTTAGTTGGCTTTAAACAGGACCATGAGTTTCAATCAATACATATATGTCTAGCTTCGCAGACTACTGACAAACTGAGGGGATTACTTAAAGGTCATCTATCTGAATATTTTTAACAGTTTTTGCTCATAGATAAGTATTAATGGAGTGTACCGAACGAAATTGTATTCGTTGCTCACTTTGTAATGTAGATTGATTGATAACATAGAGCTTAATGTTACAGGGGAAAGATTAGAGATAGGTCTCAAGTCGAAGGACGCTAAGTGTTATTTTTTTCAGACAAAAACATTAAACTTAAAGATTAGGTAGGTAGATCCTACTAATATAATATACTATAATAAATGTGAAGTTTTTATGTTTGTTAATCAATCACGCAAAAACTTTTGAACGGATTTGAATGGAATTTGTTAAGCATATAGTTTATGACCTGGATTGAGACACGAGATACTTTTTTCCTGATTAGTTGTCAGGGCCACGGTGGCATAATTGGTCAGTGCATTCGCCCGGATAGCGAACAGTGCGGGTTCGAGTCCTGTCTGGACCGCGTGGAATTTTTTCTAGTTATATTTTCTTTACATTTAAAAATGACTTTCCTCAGCTAGGCTTCAAACCCGGGTCGCCCGCGTAGCAGGCGAGCTTCCTACCACTGAACCACGGATACTTGTTGATAAAGTCTGTTTTTTTAATGTCAATCACAAATGTCATGCGACATACTAAAGATAAAAAAAATAGTATATATTTGATACGATGTAATAAAATTTCACTTCAAAAACTAAATAAATAAATAAATATTTCCAACACTCACACCAATTAGCCTAGCCCAAAAGTAAGCACTGTACGGCTTGTGTTATGGGATACTAGGGTAACGGATGGAATACATATACTGTACATATATAAGCATATTTATATAGAAATACATATTAAACATCCATGACTGGAGTACAAATGCTCGTATTCATCACACAAACATCTGCCCCTACCGGAATTTTAACCCGGGGCCTCTCGAGTCGGCGACACCATGAAACCCGGCGTACAAACCACTCGGCCACGGAGGTCGTCAAACTACTACTTTTTTCTGGCTATATAAATTTGGTTGGCTGTCACTAATGATGTCATTATTCGTTATAAGCATGTCCCCATTATGTCCTGTCCTATACTGGGCCATCAATCAACCGGGGATATTCAATCACCCTTCACCACTATTTTGACATTCATACAAAGAGCTATAAAGGCAGGCGCATACAAAGGAAGGCTTCGGATAATGGTTCTCAATTAAAAACCACTCAATGGGAGCTTAGATTTAGATGTCTACCGAAGTGAAGTGTCATGGTTAATTTGTAAAAAATACCTGTTATTGAATGACAATAGCTTTGTTTTATAAAGATTATTGATTAGGTCGTATTTAATGAAAAATGTACTATAAAAAAATCCACGCGGACCAGCCAGCAGACGGGACTCGAACCCGCAACGTCCTCTATCCGAGCGGATGCACTACCATTGTCTGTGTCGAATTTATTATTTGATTTATTAATAGAGGCCGCGGTAGCATAATGGTTAGTCCATCCGCCCGGATAGCGGAGGGTGCTGGTTTGAGTCCTGTGTGCTGCCTGATTCGCGTGGATTTTTTAATAGTACAATTTTATAATTTGCTATTTTAGTTTTTAAGCATTTAACTGCTACTTGTTTCAATGTGAACGCTATGCTATGTTATTAAAGAAAAATATTCTCTCTGCATATCACCGCTCTTCCATTTTGAGAAATAGTCTTATTTAGTCACTGCCAAGCTTCGACCCAGTAAAGCTACTGTAGCAGCTGAATATCGGCTTAATTAAGTTTAAAATTACTTAGTGCCCTGTCGCCTAGCTTGCAACTAAAATGATATATCGTCACTGTTGACTCTAAGCCATCTTGCGATAATAGTGACTCCAAATATTCAAACTTTTTGAGGAATTTTAGGTTATAATCATTTTTCATACTATGAGCAACGCTTATTTAATTAATTACTTTTATAAACTAACTATGAAACACTTTATATATATTTTTATACTATTCTCAACGTCATCACGCTCATTGCGTGTTTCATACCCATTAGCGACCAGCCCCGGATTTTCACTTGTAAACTTTATTTTAACGCGTTGAAATATAGACTCTGTCACATTGGTATACGAGGATTTCTACTGGTGAAAGAATTTTCAAAATCTCTTCTATAGTTCCAGAGATTTACTTCCTACAAATAAATTTATGTCTCATAATATCATTTATAGAATGAAATGCGCTGAAAAATTTCAAAGATACAAACAAACATACAAAATCAAAGCTAAAAACTGACCGCGTATGTTTAAACTTATGTAACTCCATTCGATTCCCAATGAACAAAGATAAATGTTTTAAAACAGTTTAAGTTGAACCTAATAACAACTATCTCACAAAGGAATAATTTTACAAATACGATCGACTTAATTTTGCACATACGAGCTTCTATCTTATAAAACGAACTCTTGTTCCTTTTATAAACAATATTTGATACTTGGAAAAAACAGTGGTGAAAAAAGGAAAATGTGAAATCAACCACAAAATAAAATATTTTTACCAGTCATTGGTCAGCGAGTTACTTCGTCTGGAATAATATTTATAACATATAAGACGACCTCCGTAGCCGAGTGGTTTGTACGCCGGGTTTCATGGTGTCGCCAACTCGAGAGGTCCCGGGTTTGAATCCCGGTGGGGGCAGATGTTTGTGTGATGAATACGAGCATTTGTACTCTAGTCATGGATGTTTAATATGTATTTCTATACATATAAATAAACTTATATATGTACAGTATATGTATTCTATCCGTTACCCTAGCATTCCATAACACAAGCCTTACAGTGCTTACTTTGGGGCTAGGCGAATTGGTGTGAGTGTTGGAAATATTAATTTATTTATTATTCAATATTATAACTTACCACTTAAAACAATACTACATATATATACGTAGGTATACGTAAAAGTGTTTTTCCAGTTGAGTATTTAAAGTTATTACGTATGTAAATATTTAATCTTGTGAAAATTCTCGTTATTGGCTCATCGTGATGTAAGGGCATATAAACCCTTCAAACACTGCGGGTATGGACGAATTGATCAAGTTGAAATTCAGATAGCGAACGCATTTATTCAGCCGCACGTTCCGTGTTTTAGACTTGCAAACGTTTGCTTTTACACGCACCGATCGTATGTTTTTTCTTGCAGAACGGAACGGGTTTTTTGGTATATTCAATTAAGTCACAGATGAAACAAAACATAAAGAATTCTCGTTGAGGTTCTATTAAGTCTATTTAGGTCCACTTTTATGGTGGTAATGCTTTGTAAAAGAACTAAAATATATTCAACTATCAAGTCTGAATTGTACGATATTCAGAAAGTGATATTTATTATTGAATTTAATACAAAAAAAAATATGATCTGAACCTCTGATTTCACTTAAGGTATGTGAAAGGCGTAAATCTTGCTGTAAAACCTACCGGATAAAAAAATATTTAAGCGTTCGCTTTGTTTGAAGTTAGATTTATGAGGGCAAATAATACCTATAGGTATTTCATATTTTCATGGGTTATCTATTTCATTTAAGTTCATGAAATACTGTTTTAGGGTTTTTATAATAATCAAAATCTTTTAAGTTGTGTAAAAAGCCTTAAAGAATTAGGGATGTAGTCCCGTAAGTTCCGGTATGCCCACACATGTATGGTCACCCTATCGCTACTCGTGGGTTAATTGGTATGTAAACAAGAGACGTACAGTCTAATCTGGCTAACAATATTAAATGGGCTCATCCGGATATGATACGGCATAACATAATATCTTAAGAGTGCCTCTGTATGTTTGATACGAATTCATATATAACATGCTTTTGGTGTTAATTATATTATGCGTTTGATCAGGCACTTCCTGAGTTTTCTCATCTCTTTAAACTGATTATGAAGTAAGCCTAATATAAGCTTTTATTTAACTTGCAGTGTTCGTATTTTTATTAGTTTGGTTTATCAATGATTTTATAGTTTATTTCGAAGCAGAAAAATCATATTATATAATTAATCATTCATGCTTAAGTAAATTATTATTAACACAATATGGACTTGCCGTATTATGTTAGTAATAATTTACTTAAGTTTATTGGCATAATGTTATGCTTCTTAGGTTTTCACGAACATCACTCATTAATTAAAACAAGTTTAATCGGGTTAGATGCACTGATTGTATTTATTAATTGATAAACATTAATCTATCTATATATCTTTACATATAAATAAACTTGGAGTGTCTGTTTGTAATATTGAAATAACCGCTTTTTACTACATGCATGAATATTTATATACGGTACATACACCAAAATATCATTTTTTTTCATTTTTTATCTGTCTGTCTGTTAGTTTCGTCTTATCTCTGAAATGGCTGGACCGATTTTGACGGGACTTTTATTGGCAGGTAGCCGATGTAATAAGGAGTAACTTAGGCTACTTTTATTTTGGAAAAATCTTTTATTTTAGAAAAAAAAACTAAATGTTAATAAACAAATAAAATCAGTGCATCCAACCCGTTAAAACTTGTTTTATATAATGTTATGCGTTATTTAATTACTAACATAGTAAAGTAAAATTACTATTTTTTTCCCGAAAACCATTTCAGATTTTATTTAACTAAAGTGTGCTCACCGCATTTTTAATCAAACCGCCTTTCTTTTGTTCGCAGTTCGAGACCACTTGCATCCCACACACCATGTCACAAGATTAAGACACTCGAGACATCTTGAAGGATTCAATTCGATCCACACTTCATCTGTGAGTATACATCGGTGCCTGCATCCAACCTGACATCGTAGTTCCCTCATAAAATCATCGAATATTTCGCTCCATAAACGCTTTGTCCCTAATAGGTTCCTTATGTATTTATTTTACGCTTTTTCATAATTATACAAGACGAAATAGATGTTTTTGCATGCATATCAGTTTTATATATATACTATGATGTGTAACATTAAATCGTTATTTGCGTTCAATATTATCAATTAAAAGCTTACACGGATAAATGTAAGTATCTAGCGATCGTGTATAAATAATTTAATTCTTGTTTATAAAATTAATGCTTTCATGCTTAAGTAAGCTACAAGGAAATAAGGTACATCACTTCAACATGATTTATCAGTACAATGAATTTGAATATCTTATTAATTCAAGTTTAAATTTATTATCAGTAATTGTACTTATCATGCATGCAAATTAGGTTGGTAAAAATTATATTGAAGTATCATAGTAATGTTTTTTAAGTTTAATTTGTCGATAACAATCTTATAGCGGATTGTGTTAATTGTTGAACACTTTGGTCGTATGCACAAAAGTTATTAGAAATTTTAATAAATGTATTTTGAATGATATAACTATATTTACTTGATGTAAAAGTTGTATACTTTTAGGAGGTAAATTTCATATCTGCAGACTTCTAAAAGAAAACACTTAAATATTATTTTTATTCGCATGAATACTAAGTTTGATTTATTCGTCATCGAATCAATCACTATTCTATTGGCGTTGATGTATTAGATTTGAATACATCAATTTTTAACTTCAATTAACGACTTCCATCGAATTGGTTAAAGTATTTTATTTTAAATAATCTATGGTTATAGACTTAACAAAATTCTTAATAATTAAAAAAAAAATGGTTGCCTGTAAAGTCGGTTTTACGGGCGAAGATTTTACGTGACAACGTCTTTTTCTCGGTAGAATATTTATTGATATGAATATAATTAAATTGCACAATAGGAACAAGGAATTGAATGAAAATAAGAATTGCACAAATTTTAACTATAGAAATATATTTTGTTTACTAAAACATTGTACATGTAAACTTAAACTTAACACGAGAGACTCATCGTAACGTTACCGAGCGTTACACTTTTTCATAAGTGACTCCCAGCCGCAACCTAATTTAAGACGTTGTCACGTCAAAAAGAACTTATACATCTGCCATTCTTGAGTATCTCTAGAAACCTTCTTTATTAAAATGAGAAACGTCTGAGCATTCAGTCTTTCCAATCAGATTGAATACTTGTTTTTATGTTACCCTGCATTGCGCAACGCAAATCTTTGCGCGTCTGTACGCTTTGTCTCAATCACTTTTGTGCCTACGCTCATTTGTTTCAACGCTGTAGTTTTGTAGAGCTGTATAATGACGTAGCGGATCGACCCTGTGCCTTTTCAGTTTTCGTCCGCGTCATCGCCGAAGTTAGCGGTGAAGGACAACCACAAACCGCTCTTCACCGAGTGCTTAAACTACAGGCCGACTGTGAAAGAGGAACAACCGGTTGGCACGTATGTGTTCACGGTAAGTTGACGATTGAAGAAGTTTTTTACAGCCATTTTCCTAACAAATCACACTAATCACACTAATATTATAAAGGCGAAAGTTTGTGAGTATGTGAGTGTGTATGTTTGTTACTTCTTCACGTCTAAACGGCTGGAGCGATTTTAATAAAATCTCGTATGGAGTTAGCTGACACCCTAGATTAACACATAGGCTACTTTTATCCCAAAAAAAATGTTAGGTTCCAGAGGTATTTTCAAGAAACTAAGTTAACGCAGACGAAGTCGCGGGCGACCTCTAGTTACCAATAAATATATATTTTTCTCACATATAGGAAGGCATACTTTCAATTACATACGATATTGCACAATTGTTTGTTATCCTAAACTTTAAAAAAAATCTGACTGGACCCACCTACTGCTGAGAGGAATTGACATTATTGAGTACAATTTTTTGGTAATAATACAATGTTTTTTTTTCCAACCTAGAGTAATAAGTAAGTCCTTGCAGACAAATTACGGGGCTAGTTTTTAGTAAATTTATAAATCGGTAATTAAAGAAGTTTTGGTTTTCACATTACATACCAAATACATAGATAGATAATGTATTGAAATAATTTTAGATACTTTACTGCGTGGTATGAGTAATTATGCTTGATTTCACATAAATCAATGATTCAAGTGAATCGTTTATGAAATAAAATCCAACGAAAAAGGAGCCCTTGCTGAGTTTTCGCTTTTTCCCAATACAACGCCTACGGCTATCGATAAACCTCGAATCGATGACGTAGCTTTACGACATTCACGAGTACTTGAAACAGCAGAGGCTGCATAAAAGATATTTCCATTTTTCCCTATTCCCTAGTTTGAAATTTAAGAGTAAAACTAAAAATATGATTTATCGTTTGTTGTCTTAGTTGAAAAACTTATAGATACCTAGTTTAAATCGACAAAGAATCATCAATGTATCAGTGATTCAGAAAAAATACAACATTAAATTCATAATCAGTCACTGTATGGTATTAAGTCGTTGTGTTAATAAATTGAACTTTTTTTATAAAATGCTTAAAATATCACACAGTAAATATCAAATGTACTAAAAAGCATATATTTATAGACATTAATGATTTTCCATTATGCGACTCAGCCTGGACAATTCAACTATAAATGTTTACATACGCGTTTCAAATCTTTTGAAACGATTACGACTTTACAGTATTGTGGGCGGTTGATAACAATTCGGTGTGTTCACAGGTCCACGCAGAAGACAAAGATCCACCCGAAATGGGTGGTACGGTGACGTACAAGTTTGTTTCCACGCCGGGTGAAAAGGAGCGGTTTCACGTTGACCCAGAAACTGGAGCGATAACTACGGCCGATGTCAGTATAATGCCATTAAATGTTACACTAGTACTTACAGTTTCAAATTTCATCAATTGAACATTTAATTTAACAAGAAAAACTTTAAATTTAATTTAATAGAATTAATGATATTGTTCATGTTTAATCCAGGATATCAGGTAGGTAATACAGATTAACAAATATATGTAATTAAAGTAGTACTTAACGATATTGGAATACCACAGATTTTCGACCACGACGAACCATCGCGGGAAAAAGAAGCATATATAACAGTCCGAGCCAGCGACAATGGTCAGCCTCAATTAGATGACGCGTGTACAATAAAAATAATTATCGAAGATATCAATGACAACCAGCCAGTCTTCGATAAAGTTGTGAGTGTTTTTATAAAAAACAATATAATCGAGCAATTAACAAATGAGCCTCTGAATTAAGACGTTACATAATGCCAATATGGAAAACTGTATAGAAAAGCTAATATAAATTATTTAAAAAACTTTCAAAGCTTATGCTGAAACAATCAAAGTTCAAAGTTCGTCCATAAATTCCGAGGCACATTTACATGATTTGTTCTCTGTTCATTCACCCCAAACATTAAGTGTTGTTTGAATAGCAATTAGCAAACGAACATAATGCTAACTACTTATGCTCTCGTTTATGCTAGGGATCAACGCTAAATGAAACGTAACAGTATACCAATGATTCATGTCTTTTCTCTTTCTTGTATTTCAATAAAATATAGGTCTTACGCGGAAAGGAAAGTTACCGATCTTATAACTGTTTCTTGTAATGAATGTGTAACTAATATAACAGATGTACTATAACTAACACTTGTCTATTTTCCAAAGGTCTTCCGTGGAGATGTTTGGAAGGTTTGTCTTAAGAGTCTCACAAAGAAAAAATGCGTACCGCACAAAAAATAAATAAACTTGACACAGTTGTATTTGATATTGTCTTTCTTCGGTTGTTATCATTTTTTTCTTAATCATAATAATTGTAATAACTCTTAAATGAGGAGAGCAATGGTAACAATCGATCTTTATAAATCACTTGAAAACTTTTCTATTTTCTACTTGCATGTTGCTGCATGCCTTTAGGATCGTAGGCCGCCACTCAAGGCAATATTGGTAATGATTTACGTGTTTATAGTGTGTTAAAAATCCACTTTCTTTGCACATTTGTAGTTGATGTGTTTTCTTTAGCTAGGCTGCTCTTTCCCCCTAGGCGCATTTTATCACGATGCACGATTATTATTATTTTGGATAAGAGTACTTTCTCTAAGCTTCGGGCATGCTTTGCGTAGGATTTAAGATGTGAGAGTGTTCAAAAGCTACATACACCGTGTGGATTTATTGGTGAAACCACAATATTTCACGTTCGTTTTGAAATCATGTCATTTGTTAAGTTCATGAAACTTTTTGGGTCTTATATCAACTGAAATTTCAATTCATTGAATCACCAAACGATTAAAGCTCATTATGTATTTCCATAATCATGTCCACCTTTGAAACTTTTGTCGATACTATGTTAATATATTTTTTCAACGTGTGCAGTCTTACTCCGAGTCCGTTCCACAAGATCTGCCGAGTGGGAGGGAGGTAATGAGAATATCGGCGACTGACATCGACGATGGAAACAACTCCATAGTACACTACAGCCTCGACTCCAATTCTCCTGACCAAGCATATTTTTACATTGACCCAGACAACGGAGTCATATTTTTGAATAAAACTATTGATGTAAGTTTCACTGCCACAATTTAATTTCGCTTAAGATTAAATATAAATTAAAAAATATCTATAAATAAGATCGAAGTTGAACTATAGCCACTTGAATTAATTTTTGCCTTCGTTTGCAGAAAGTACCTGGTTACAAATTCAAATTGAGTGCTATAGTTAAAGACATGGGCGATCCAATACAGCAGAGCTCCATTACTTTGGACATCCAAGTTGTAGAATCTAATAAGAAGAGTCCTTCCTTCATAGAAGTCCCATCTGGGCCGATTAGATTAAAGGAGAACTATGCAGATTTCAATGCGCCTATAGCCACCGTCAAAGCTGTGTAAGTATTATAATAAATACAAAACAATCTCTGCTAAAGTTATATGTCTCCTACTTAACCCAAGGTTCTTTTTATTTTTATTTGTTTAATATAGTAAAGAACTTAATGTTGAATAAAATTTATGATTGATGTGGTTAGCCAAGACACTGTCTCAGCACATAAGCTGCTGCGAAAGGAATTTCATCAGACATATTTTTCTCAATTATAATTTGATAACGTAGGAACAAATACTACTATATAAAATTAAAATATGTCATGAATAAAATACTTTTTTTTATTATAATTTAACATTGTAAATAACATTTGCATGTTTTAGATCAAATATTCCTGAGGAAGAGAAGCTACAGTTTGAATTAGTCATGGGTCAAACGGAACAGACAAACAAGTGGCACACGTTTGTATTGGAACCCGAGGCAGACACGGCCTACATCAAACTTGGCAACCACTTAGACTACGAGAAAATCACAGATTACACACTCACCGTCAGAATACAGGTAATATATTTACTTTGAAATAAGTTTATCCAGCTAAAATAAATACGAACTGTATTTTTTAAAGCTAGCTATATTTCAATATTGTTTTATAGTTTATTTTTGAGGATAAAATAAATTAATTTTAACCTTTCATTCCAGAATAACTACAAATTAGCAGCAGAGACAATTATCCAAATTGAAGTTGAGGATGTTAATGACAATATACCGATCTTCAGTGAGATAAGATCTGGCAGTGTACTAGAAAACGAACCACCTGGCACACAAGTGATGCAGGTCCGAGCTTTTGACGCTGACGGAACTTCAGCAAACAACCAAGTCACATACCAACTGGGTGATCCATCTGATCCGTTTGCTATAGACAGCATCACCGGCAATATTACAACGCTGAAGATGTTTGACAGAGAAGAGAAGAGTTTTTACAACATCAAAATCATTGCCACTGATAATTCCGAGTCTGCGCTTATACCAGGAAAACATAACGCCGGTCAACAGTCGTTCTTGATAGAAATAGCAGATAAGAATGACAATCCACCACATTTCACGCAGGATACTTATGTCGCTGAAAGTATAGCGGAGAATGCTAATATCAATGAGCTCGTTACTCAAGTTACTGCTATTGATACTGATACAGGTAATGTTCATTATTTTTTTTTAATATTATATTTTTCAAATAAAGCTTCATTACGAGTTTTGCATCCGTAAAGTTAAAATAATTGTAAAGTCTATTTCTAATTACATCAAGGGCAGAATAGCTACGTTCCTTTTTATATCCCCTGTCAGTATAAATATTATGGATATAATATTATGTACAAAACACTATCAAATCTAAAATTAAAATAAATAGCGTAGCTTGTTTTTATATCAAATATTATCTAGCTCGGTAACACTTCGAACCAATTATACAACTAAATCTTTTCCCCTCAACAGCGTCCGTAGTGACATACAGCATCGTAGCCGGCAACACATACGATGCATTCGTCATCCGCAATTTCACCGGAGAAATCAGGGTGAACAACGAGCTTGATTACGAAAACATCACCACCTACAGCCTGGATGTCAGAGCGTTCGACGGCATCTATGAGGATTACGCGAAAGTCATCATCAACATCGAAAATTTGAACGACAACCCACCATTATTCTTGGATAATTACACCAAAACTATTGAGGAAGAGAAGCTATACGAAGGTTGCGTTGTTAAGGTATGCACGATTATTATTTTATTTGACAATATAGAGTAACATGGCCGACGCGTTCGTGTTGGACAAATTCTACCATTAAATGTTCTCGGAACACAAACAGTATAATTCTTAAATGAATGTCAATAGAAAACTCCAAACACTGAAAAAGTTCTCAATGATACCTAGCAAATATAATTTAATGAGCGAATAAAAGGCAAAAAATGAAAGGTTATGTATGAGACAATTATTCTAAAATTATTGTTATTCTGGATACGGATTCCTAAAAATCATAACTTTTATAGCCATTTCATTCACGAAATCTTGAAGTTCTCGCGACCAACATGAAACATGAAAGTTGTAGTTATTTATAACCACGTACATTCGTCACTATGCTCCGTATCTTTATCATCGATAAAATATAGCGTGCTGTCCTTCTAAGTATATCGTGCGGAAAAACGGAAAATGTCCCGACATCTTTTTCCAATATTTATCACCGTTAGTGATCTGTCACTTTTACGTAAAAATTCACTCTGAACTTGGCTCTCATATTTGCTGCAAAATCTCGAAGGTATAAGAAACTCTGTATCTGCCAGTCATATTTGGCTAATGTTTATGGATTATCCTTTTTCTTGATGCTCTTTTTGTCATGATAATATTCTTGGGTGACATTTTATCGATGTCTTATAAATTGAATATTTCATTACTCATAATTGATGAGCGTAAAGTCAAAAGTTTACATATAAATTATTATAATTCACCAACCACGTTTATTTTTGCCTTTGCATGTGTAATAGGTACCTGGTAATTTCGCATCAAATGAAACGGTTACACGACGATGTAAAAATTTAGGTTATGTGCTAACTAAGTCTAGTCGATTAGGTCGATGAAGTAATCAAAAATAAAAATAGTAATTTAGAGTAGAAAGTATCAAACAACAACAATCTTACCAACAAAACTGAAAGAAAAATTTAATCAGGTTTTGTCGAGAATTCACTCGCATGGAAATTTAATTATGAAAAATGATCCGCGAAGATGCCTGGCGTGTGTCATATTTTACTAAACAATTTGGGCTTGCTCGCTCTCATTTATTGAACTTCATTAGCGTTGTTCTTGTGAATTACGCTTAGAATGTTAAATTAAGCTTGTTTTAAGAGGTACGCAGAATTCGTAATCAACACGTTTGGGAAATAATTACATTTCAATATGATATCACTTTCAATGTATGTTGTTTGAAACAAAGTTACGTAAATATCAAAGATATGGGTTTGCATCTATAATTATAATTTGAATTTTAACGATTAATTATTAATTGACTCAGGATATAATGCAATATACGTGGGCAAAATAAATAACTCAAAACTTTTCTTGCTATGATAATGCCAATGAATGACTTCCAATATATTTGAATAGCGGTGTCTTCCATAAGCGATGAATAATATTAATTACTAGTGGCCCGCCCTCGCTTCGCTTCGGTGTAGAGCTGTAGTGTAAACTATAGTTTTTGTTCTCAGGCTTGTGCTATAAACAATGGCTTTATTTATATAATTACACGTGTTATTGTGAGTCAACCATAAAAAATAGACATATGCTGTTGCGGGATATTTTTTAGACAATTTTATGTAGAATATTTCCGTCATACATGATTTCTATGTAACTTTAACCATAAAGGCTGCACACGCGACGGAAGCTTAAAAAATGGAGTAACTTCTCCCGTTTTCCCAACATGTCCCTTCACTACTCTGCTCCTATTGATTGTAGCGTGATGAAAAGTATACTATAACCTGCCCATGGGTATGAAGAATAATTGTACCAAGTTTCGTTAAAATCCGTCGAGTAGTTTTTGTTTCTATAAGGAACATACACACAGACAGACAGACAGACAAAAATTTTACTGATTGCATTTTTGGCATCAGTATCGATCACTAATCACCCCCTGATAGTTATTATGAAAATATATTTCATGTACAGAATTGACCACTCTACAGATTTATTATAAGTATAGATAAGTGATACTTACTACTGTTAATAAAGAACACAAATAAAAATTTCGGAGCCCTCTTGAGACTCGGGAGTCAATTTACTTTCAAGACATAAATAATAAAAGTTGAGATTTTAAAGGGATCTGACAGATTGAAGTTTGTTAAGACTAAGATATATTTTTGCCAATTTTTAAACCTGGTGGCGATGATTCTAAACTACTGACGTGAAAGCAGCAAAAATTGCCATTGCAATTCTTTACTAAAAAAGATTTTATTCATGCTTTGTTTTGAGTAGCAGTAATTTAACTAAAGATAAGTAGAGCTTAGCGTATTTTCCGCTCGCTGGCGAAGTAATCTCCACCTTACAGAAGATCACAGTAAAATAACGCCTCCCTTTGGTGGTGTTGTTTTTCTGTCGGTAGGTAAAGTTCCAGGGCTACACGGGGTAGGATGAAAAAAATGAATGAAGAGCTCGATGGCGCAGGTGGTTAGCGCATTCGGCTGCGATGGTTGAAGTTAAGCAACTTTCGCAGTGGTCGGTCATTGGATGGGTGACCAAAAACATCTATCTCGAGTTTCTCCGTGCTTCGGAAAGCACGTTAAGCCGTCCCGGCTGCATGTGCAGCCGTTAGCATACGGCAATCCGCACTGGGCCCGCGTGGTGGGTCATGGCCCAATCTCCCTATTCCATCCATAGGGAAGGCCTGTGCCCCAGCAGTGGGGACATTAATAAGCTGATGATGATGATGATAATGAGTAATATTTTTGGTAAAGGCTCGATGACACGGGGCGAGTTTACAAGCTACAAGCCACCGAGTTTGCTAGCAGCTTGTGAACTCGCCCCGTGTCATCGGCTTTTTTACCATCTGCTACTCGATGACACGGGGCGAGTTTACAAGCTACTAGCGAACTCGCTGGCTTGTAGCTTATAAACTCGCCCCGTGTTAGTTATCGCGGCTTAACGCAAGTGTCTATAATAGGTTATGGGGGCCGCTTACCATCAGGCGAGCCTATTGTTTTTTTTTAAACATAAAGCCATCTTTTTAACATAAAAAATATGGCATTTTAACTTTGAGATTGTAATTATGTCTTTTCTTCAGGTGGAAGCTTACGACCCTGACATCAAAGATCGGAGTGCACCGCAGAACATCGTCTATTCTCTAGTCAAACACGAACAGAAAGAGTTCCTCCAGATAGACAACGACGGTTGTCTCCGCCTCACGAAGCCGTTGGACCGCGACCAGCCTTCAGGGTTTACGAGATGGCAGATCCTCATCATGGCTGCCGATCAAGGAGGGCGGCTTGGGTCTGACAGCTTGAGGTCCACTACAGAAGTCATATTGGAGTTGACCGATATCAACGACAACGCGCCTTTCCTGACTAATGTAAGTGTTTTGTAAATTTTAATTGAGATTTTTTTTAAATGGTATTGCAAAAAAGTATAAAAAAATGGTGTGGTGTTATAAAACCGCGAAACAATGGAAACTTTTAAAACCATTGTGAAATTAATATTTCAAAAATGCTTTATCGGCTGGGAATCGAACCCGCGAAGCTCAAGTTGTAGGCGGGATTTCTACTATTGAACCACCGATTCTTGTTAATAAGTTCTGGTTATGATTTCTTAAATACCCTAGTTAAACACTTACCCCAATTATCTTTATATCATCTTCTTTATTTTATCTTATTAATAAACAAGGAATAAGCTTAGATTAGTTACGCCGTGTTTTGTTCATGTCACTCAAATGCCATTAGTCATTCAATAGACAGAGACAAAACATGGAGTAACTAATCGAAGCATAGTCTTCGTTTATTAATAAGGGAGTTAGGGCCGATTATTCAAACTCGGATAAAACTGAACTGTTCGATAAATTAATACTCAATCAAATAGAGAGAGATGTCATACGTCACATTACACCAATGAACACAAGTTAACTCTTTATTTTGTCCGTATAATAAATACGATATCAGGCAGATAAATGTTATCCAGTGTTTATTGTTTTTGAAATCAGCCTTTAATGATATGCCATGGTGCAATATTTCCAATTTGTTTTAAATATTTAAACTATAAACAATCTGCAAAAAGTAAAAACTTTTTGAATATGAAGTACGGCCTTTTATACATATACGTATGTGTGTATATGGTAACACTGAGCGTTTGATGCACGGGTAGTTAATTGTGTTGCTCGTATAGTGAATGGGCCCTTTGAGGCCTATTGTCCTTGAGGCAGTCCCGTTACGCAAGGAAATAGAACAAGCTCTTTATATGGATTTTCATACGATATTGTTGGGCCGCATTGTTACTTTAGTGGATGTACCAGATTGAACCTTAAGCCACTATGTATTTTATCCGTGCGATTAACGTTATACGCTACGGCGGGTAAGTGATAAATAATTGAAAATATACCCTTTTGATCCGTTTTAATTGAACACGTCGTGATAACGTGTTAGGCTTAGCCGTCAATGGCTGTTTTTTTCAATGTGAAATTAATCACGTGTGATGCTATCAATTACTTCTTTCGTTGCTAAAGCTACAGTAAAATGTAAATGTGAGTTATGGCGCTATTTAATCGATGAGTTGGTCGTTCTTTTTCAATTATTCAATAAAAAATCTCATGGATCCGTAATAAATAACTGAATAAGTACAAGCTTCACTAAGCTTTAAGGACATAAAAACTTTTGCCTTCCCAAACGGCAAAATATTTAAAAGGACAATAATTTTAAAAGAAAGAAAAAACGATTTCAAATTAAGAACGGTTGCTATTAAAAAAAGTTTCAGTTCATTTAATTGCTCTTTCACGCATCAAACATTGTGCTATGAAATTAATACTTATTGTTCTTTCCACCGTTTTTATTCGGAATACAGTCATTAATTCTCCTTCAAATTTCCCTTTTTACCTCTTACTCGTTAAAGAACATGCAATTCACCTTGTAAGACTCATTCAGGGCGGTTTATAGACCGTTTTAAAAGAATTGCTATCGATAAATTTCAATGGAGCCATCAGTACTGAACCTTTTGCAGGAATGGGCGGGGTTTAATGTGTGGAATGGATAAGGCCACTGTTAAAAGAGAGCCCCTCCGTCTTAACGACACGTATAACTGTGTTTTAATACGTTTACGGAAGCGCTGATAGTTTTCAGAGGTTGACTGCTGAGAGATTTATTTTGGGGATAAGTTATGTTCAGCTTATAAAGATCGGTTGTTCAGATGGTTGGAACTTGGAACAATTTTATAGGTAGCAAAGGTTGATATTTCAACGAGGTTATCTGGTAGTTTGAAGTTAGTTTTTGGTGTGATTTAATCGATAGTGTTTAATTGATTCATATAGGTATAAATGACGATGGTGGACCTTCCACCTCGGTATTGCTGCTTAGCACCTGTTATTTTCATAAACCCTCATTAATAAAATTAATAAAAACAAATACTGCTTATGCATTATTACACCATGAGTAGCATTGCTTTGATGAGATGATATTTGGAAACATACGATTAATTTCTGAAAATTTAAGAGAGCCAGGGGATAGCGGATTTCCCTGTTGATTGGACCGCCCATCTGGGAAGCAACCTCCACCATCACAAGATCACAGTAAATAACGCTACCTTTTGGTGATGTTGTGTTTCTGCTATTGAGTAGAGTTCCAGGGCTCCGCGGGGTAGGGGATTGAGTTCAGGCCTGCAAGGTGAGAATGGCTGGCGCGGCACACTTTCTACCACATCATCTATCTACGCGACTGGACTCCAATTACACTTAACATCAGGGGAGGGAATGGTTTGCCCCTCGTATTAAAAAAATACATGTCGCGCACTTAATAATCCGTCTGCCACTCATAACCTCCAAGTCGCACAAAAAGCAAACAAAAACTCTATGCCCACCGTTCATATTTCAACTTAAATGAGACGAATAATAAATTTATGTTATTCAGAGCAAAAATGCCTTGTTTAAATAATACTGAAGCTTACTCATTCACCTGATCCGAGTGCCGGCCAAAGGGCTTTAGTATAATCCCTTCTTAGCCAGATTTAGACATAATAATATTAGTCTTTGACCAAATGCGACCAAAGTAGCTTTAATATGCTTCCGTTACTTAATGATACTCGATGTTCTCTTGCCTGAATCGTTTTCTGTAATGTATCCGAAGATTTTTATAGAAATTATAGGGGGCATACGAGACGGCTTACCTAATGGTAAGTATTTTTTTGAGTGTGTATGCTGTTGGTCGCAGATGACCTTTACAGCGGGTCACCGGGTTTGGGGACGGCGAGATCCCAAGGGGACCTCAAGCCGAGAATTGGCGAGTGCCTCTAGAAGTATTCCAGGCGGATGGCATCTTACCGCGGGGGGAGTCTCCTCTCCATCTAGACCACTCGAACCTGAGGGGGTCGGCTCAAATAGAGGGTGTCTCTGAGACTCGGACCACGGCTCTAGCTAGCCGTTGTCGTTTGGGTAGGGCTGATGATAAGTGATCAATAACGCCCATGGACACCTGCAGCACCAGGAGTATCACAAATGCGATGCCGGCCTTTGAGGAAGGAGTACGCTCTTTTTTTTTAAGGTGTTCGGATCGTATTGGGCTGCCACTTTATTTATTTTATTTTATTAAGAAGACCAACAGCGTATACATCAACAAATAATAGATAGTATTTTACAGGTAAGTATGGCTAATTACAGGCTTCTCTTAAGCTTAAAATAGTAAATGTACATCAGAGATAATTAGTTATATGCCAACGAATAAACTACGTAACAGCCATGAGAGAGAAAAACACTTAGGATTATCCATTGCTCTCAATATTTTTAGCTTACTTTTTCTAGATAAAGTTGAGAAAATTATTCCACTTCGTATAATGTTATGAACCAAGGGTGTTTTCCATCTGCTTGAATATTGATAAAGCGGCCATTGCGAAAGTTTCTTAACTTATACGATGGTCCACCGAACGCGCTAACCTCTATATGCCCACAGACCTAAATTGAAATTCCCCCTCTAAAAGCTAAACTATTGGCTTGAAAAACCTGGAAAAATTCATGATAAAAGTGATTTTAATGAACTTTTAAGTAAACTATAACAGTAAAAATAGATATGTCAGTTTAAGAGTAATAGTCGTTTAACTGAGTACCAACGGCAACGGTTTCTCAGTCGCCCTAACGTTATGTTTTTATAAAAAGTATATAAGCATTGAAAAGATCGGCGGTACCGCATCATCCCCTGAGAAGGGGATCGCTTCAGATGAAGCTTGTAAAGCCCTTCTGGGCATAAGCATGAACTACGGGTGTGTTTTAATCAGTAAGAATCTAATATAACCTTGCAGCCGGCTGTAAGGTATCCAACAGGATTTCACATCCGCCTGGAAGGAAAAAAAATCGGCGGTTCTCATTCGTATTTAAAAAAAAAATGTCGAATTGATATTGAGTTTAAGACGCAGTTTGCCTTTGATTTATTAATTGTTTTTTTCTAATTTACGATACAGAAAATAAAGACTCCTGCTCGTATAGATTGTGATAACTACTCGTATAGATTTTGATAACTACAGGCAACTACGGAACCCCGGAACTTGAAATATTCACAGAATATTTAGTAGTATATTTACTTTAAATACATATAAATATAATTTTTATTATTTTTAAAGCATGTAACTGCTTGATGTTTAAATCTAAAGAAAATATAACTAGAAAAAATTCCACGCGGACCAGGCAGCAGACGGGACTCGAACCCGCACCCTTCGCAATCCGGGCGAATGCACTGACCAATTATGCTACCGCGGTCCTCACGGACCGCGTCGAAATTCTTTCTAGCTATTCTTAAGCTGCAAGGCAGCGCCATCTCTTCGCATTATAGGTAAACCCACATATTACTTTACATATAAATAATTAAAACAACACATACAACACACGTTATTTTGTGCCGTTTTTGGTACAATATGACATAGTTAGATATCTTTTGAACATTATGATTGTCGTCCAGCATCAAGAACGGTGACACGAAAAAATATATTAGCGTAAAAAGAAGACAATTGCCCCTCTAGCATGACCACTGAAACGGGATATGATAAAGCGATATATCGGCATTAACTGTCAGACTACTATGGAGTTTGACAGTAGTCTTTATCATATCCCGTTTCGGTGGTCATGCTAGAGGGGCTGGTCTTGCTTTTGGTACGCGAAGTACATACACGTTAGCACCCACAGATCAACATTGAGTCTGCGTTGTAAGTCATAGTCCAATATCCCTTTTCTTTATTAATATCCCCACTGCTGGGGTACAGGTCTTCTCTATGAATTGAATAAGAAAATTGGGCCGTGACTGACCACACGAGCCCAGTATACAGCCGGGACCAATTAATTAACGTGCTTTCCGAAGTACGGAGGAGCTCGAGATAATAAGTTATTGGTCA